GTCCACCTAGTACTTCTTTTTTCCGCTGGAAACGAGGAAGTCGCGACATCAAGTGGAAGTATCTTGACGAATTCTCAACAGATCTCGCTTCGCTTACTGGTGCACTGGGGGGTTCGAGATGGGAGATTCCAACAGTCCAGCAGGAAAGCTCCTCCACCAGACGAAGTCATGCAGCGTAGTTTCTCGACTCGATCGTCCGCTTTGTCTTTGAAGTCGATTGTGCGATGCTTGACGCACCAATCACAGCTGGCGACCTTACAAATGCAATTCGGTACATGAACGCGGCATATGGACGGACTGACCGCTGGTTTCAACCAGGCCGCTCAGGATGTGTCCGAAAAGTGCCTAAATCGTTTTCAACGATCAGCTTTGGCGTGGGATTCTGCTTCATCCTAGCGCACATGAAAATCCGAGGATATTTTACTTAGTTCGGCATTGCGTAGACATACTCAGGAATCAGCTAATCTCATGACGAGCGCTTCAGTCTGGGGCTGTTTCAGTCGCAGATTTCACATTGTGGTATTTTTTAGAAATATAATCGAATGATGATTGAATTTTACGCTTCAATCATCCTTACTGACTTTGTTTTTCATGAAGAATTAGCCCCTCCTTCTTTTTCATCAGCACTCGCTTAGTGCTTCCACAGCGATACGAATCTTGGTAAGCATTTTTTGAGAAAAATTCACAAGCTGTGCAAAAAATGTACCTAAGGTAATGATAGAAAGGTAGTACTACTACAGTCACTCAACACTCATATAACTTTCTTTTTTGTCAAATCCGTTACCGGTTAATGCTTCGCACGGTGGGTACGCTATCAGGTGTTGCTATCACTTCTGAACCATCCCAAAATGTCAACGATGAGCATGTTCAGTTGCATAAGAGCCTGTTCTTTCTAGTCTTAACACATAGTTTGGCGATTTAACAATGGTATACTCTCGAGATCGAGGCATTAAGCCTTCTCAACATGATTGAAACCGAAAGACGTCGAGCTCTTCTGCCAACGGAGAATAATATCTGGGGACCCAAGCTCACGGCTAGTAATGACGATCTAAACTAAAGTATGCTCTGGGCATCGTGGCCTACAGACGTCTCTGCAATTCGAGATTATGCTAGCTGTAACGGGGTTACACGTTCCTTTGTACAAAAGGGCGGGTCGTACGAATTTGAGCGGCCGTACATGGATGTGTATTACACATTTAGTGTAACCACACAGTGGTGTAGCTACACCGTAACTAGAAGCCTCGACGTCGCAGAGTTGCCAGTAGTAATGCATATTACTACATTAATTGGGTATTTCTATATTAATTGAGAAAATCTGGCTCTTAGAAATTGGCGGCTCTGTCGCAACTAAATTAATATATTTTTTTAAGAAAAGTGATCGTTTGCCTTGGCAAGGCTTTCGTACTTCGAAGTAGCGGATTGCGATTTGCTTCCAAAATACTAGTTCTTTGAAAGAACGCAAGGTCACCGACCTTATAAAGAGCTACGGCAGCCCCGCTGCACTTGGTAGCTCTCGTCGTCAATCAACGCCTGCGTCGTTTCAACTGATCCTCTGTGTTGATGGAGGAATTGTCCTTTCTGCCCCAGGGCATGCATGACGGACTTAATAAGTTGATGTCCTCGGCGCCTCATTAATCTAGGGCCCGAGACCATAAGCGCGCACCTAGAGGCGCCTTTTAGTTATGAAAATGCTTTGTGAGAGCACTTACAGCTTCTGCTGTAAGTGCTCTCACAAAGCATACAGCTTCTGCTGTAAGCGTCGACTACGTCTATGACGCTACAGTCGAAGACGGAGGATTCCTTCCAACCCAGGCTGCTCATGGTGAGCGTCAAGACCTTCGAGGGTAAGGCTGGAGAGAATCTCCTTCTCTGGGTGAGAGAAGCCGAGATGGCTATGGCATCCGCCTTGCTCCAAACGTGACGCTAGCCATTTCCAAGCTCGGGGGTCGAGCGCGAGAATGGGTACTAACGTGCTGTGCTTTGATTAAAGCTGAAATGCCCTCCTGGAAGGAGCGGAAGCGTCAGCTTCTGCAAGCATTCTTTCCGCCTAATCAGGCGTATCGCGCGAGATCGCATTTCCTTGCTGCACGACAGGGCAAAAAGGAGTTGGTGGACTTTATCCACGCGTTGAGAACTTTTATTGCCGGGATGGCAGCAGATCATCTCCCCGAGGGGTTAGCAGCGACTGTCTTTATGGAGGGCCTCCGCACTGGCGTGGCCAGAACGGAAGTCTTCCATGTGCATCCGTCTTCTTCTGAAGAAGCGGTAGACGTTGCCTTGAAAGCCATATTTTACTTCAAGTCGTCACGACTTGGCTGGAATTTATACCCTCAGAGCTCGTCGAGCGGGATCTCAGCTATGCTGAGAAGGAGGAAGGAGAGCTCGAGCTGCTAAGCAGCGTGTAAACACCCGAAGGTGTTTTGTTTATGAAGACACCCGTCACCTTCGGACGGATTGGTTCTTGAGCAAGGCGCGTAAAGGTTCATCGAATCGACGCTCCTTTCTAACTAGTCTGGTCTGACGAGGAGAAACGAGACCACCCGAAAGGCGTGGGGCACCATACTGGGGGAGAATCGAGTTCTGTTGAACCTCAAAGTGGTAGAGGGCAGCAGGGCTCAACCCCGAAGAGCTGCGTGCTATTGAATACGGAACGTGTATGCAAGCCAGGCTTGCTGGACGTAAAAGCGACCGTGAAGGGCTTTAATAAGCCATGAAAAATCTCTATCGATTCTGGTACGTCAGGCCATTACGCTCGCGCTCCACGATCGTCTGTTCGCTTAGCAATAGGGACTTCTGTCACTGTGCCGAGGGTCGCTGTGGACCTCGATGCCAAGTTCCTTGACTTTGATAGCCTGGAACGCTGGATAGTCTTAGACTTGGATGCGAGGTATGACCTTATCCTTGGTATAGCATGATTGGAACACCATGAGCCATGGATTGCTTGGAGGTCGAGGACCTTGGGCGCTACGCGCACCTTTCCTGGTGAAGCTTTAGTGAGTAATGAAGTCACCTCAGCTATAAGGCAGAAGCGCTTTTGGCGCGGGCACCGGACCGGAACGGTCAACGTGCTGGATATCGGAGTATCCGAGTTTTCAAACAACAAAAGCGTTTTGGACAAGAGTGCCATTATGGCTCACGGGTGGTACGTAACGCACTAGGCGTTTCTCATGTTTCGAAGCAGTGCTGCGTGCCAAGAATGGCACGGTCGGACGAGGTCCGAGGATTCAAGGGCGAGGTTTTTGTGATACGCGTTGAGTGGCACGTAATCCACTGAGCACTGCTCACGTTTCGAATCAGTTGCTGCATGCCAAGGATGGCATCCTAAGCAAGGCTCTTTCGATTCGCGTGGAGTGGCCGTTAACCACTGAACAATGACTGCGGAGGTAGCAGCTCTTCGTCGGATTAAAGATTCCGATTTAGCAGGGAGTGGGGACACTGGACGACGCCGAGTGCGTGTTCCCGCTAGTCTCGATGAGACGTAAAGCCTCTGTAGAGAAGAGACGGCGAAGCCGTATGACATCTGATAGATGCAGGGAGTCGATCCTGACCCAGGGTGCGTCTGCCGTAGACGATAGCGCACGACTATATACCCTTGTCGACGGTATGACGGGAGAGATGAACGGCGTCGTCATCCACTAGGCTATTCCCGCGGTGAACTCTCTTCTGGAGCTGAACGAGATGCCCTATGAAGAATTTGACGGTTCCTTAATAGCAGGCAGTTTAGACGAGGTAGTCATTATAAGACCGAACGAGGTGATTACCTCTTCGTCGTTTTATGGATGAAGCTATCTTGAAGGAGGCTAAGAGGGTGCTGAATGCATGCAGTGAGTCGTCGTTTTTGAATTATCCTTCGGATCCGTACTATTATTTGGTATGGGAATTTCAAAACGTCGTCTCCAACGACCCCCCATCGGTCCAACCTCCAGACCGAGGTGTGCGTCATAAGATTGACCTGATTCCGGGAATTAAATACTGCGTAACACGCCCATGGCCTCTGCTCAAGGAGCAGTGTGGCGCTATTCTGAGCAAGGCTCCCCATTCAACCCCCACGTTTTGTGTCCGGAGGCCGAACGGCAAGTGGCATATCGTTCACGCTTATAGTAAGCTAAACGCTGCCACCGTTCCGGCACAGATGAAACTTCCTTGAAAGGATGTTCTCCAGAACATCATATTT